GTCTTGGAGAAGGGTGCTAGATTCATCACAGCATTGTCTTGGAGAAGGGTGCTAGGTTTGGAATCAGAAGACTAGCCTTGTCATTTACTGCCAATGTGACCTTGGGAAAAGTTTTCTCTCTCTGAGCCTGGCTTTCTTCACCTCCAGTGTGGCTAGGCTGTAGTGTACATGAAGGGCAATAGTCTTTAATATGGCTGGCAGAGTAGGCTGGGGCCAACTTGTGAAGGGATCTAGATACCAAAGATAAAGTTCCACATTTGCTTTTGGAGGAAGGAGGGAGCTGCTGGATTTTCCTCAGTGATGAAGGGAGTCAGACCTGAGCAGGTCACGTAAGGGGTGTAGAAAGCTCCCTAAGACCCCACATGGTAGAGAAGGTGCTGACCTGCACGCATAGATAGAAGGGCCTCATCTAGGAGGTCTCTACATCAGTCAAATCTCAGGTCTATTCTGTATCGCTGTGGGCATGACATGGTCCGACTCATCTCTGGGGAAATCTGTTTGGCAGCTGAGTGTGGGATGGCTTGGAGGCTGTGTCCAATTATAAAGCTACTATAATTGTCCAGGCTAGAGGAGGAGAAGATGTGAGTATGCACAGGGCGATGACTGTGTAGGTGGAGAGGAGATGTATATGGCAGATGTGAGCTAAGAAGCTTTGGACGTGTGGGGTGAGAATAAGGAATTGAGGATCATTGATCAATCGGCACGTGTTAAGAGAGTTTAATACATGCCAGGCACTAACCTAGGTCTCAGGAATACAAAGCCAAGAGTTAAACACTCCCTGCCTTTAGAGAGATTCCATTCTAGCAGGGGGCATGACTGTGCCCATTTATAGGTTCATGCAAAGTATATACAAAGCAGATTCCCAGGAGGCATTAGCACTTTAGGAGGGAGGGAGGCCAGGAAGGGTTTGATGGGGAAGGGGCTTTTGGAAGTGGAGAGGAGGACAGAGTACATTCCAGGCTAGCAGACCATCCACACGAAGGCCTGTGAAGAGATGGGAGACCTGGAGGGTCTTCTGTGAGGACTAGCTGGGAGGCCTGTTTGGCCCCGCAGAGTTTGTGGGAGGGAGCTGTATGTAATGAGGCTGAAAGGAGATTAGGGCAAGTGGTGAAGATGCCACTGAGGTTGCACCTGTCCCCTCTCCCCTCAGCAAGGCAATCGGGGTAAGTCACACGGTTAGTAAGTGTCAAGTGTCTGAGGCTGGATTTGATTTCAGGTCCTCCTGTCTCCAGGGCTGGCTCTATCCACTGCACCACCTGTTTGCCCCTTGGAGTTCTTTTTTTTTTTTTCCTCTTTTTGTCTACTCTGTAATTATCTTCTCCTGCTACTGCCTTGCTGGGTTTTCTGAATTAGTATGGCTTTCCTAATTTGCTGAGTTTTACTGTTTTATTTTTTTTAATTTATAATTAAGTTCCTTGCATTGCTGGACGTGCGTAGCTCCCAACTAATCCAGTGGGGTCAGTCCCCCACCTTGTACAAGGCCCGGAATGGCACTCCCCTAATATCCAATCCAAGGCTGGCACTTCCTTCTCTCATTTTTATTTTTATGGATAATTGTTTATTTGCTTAATTGGTTCCACATGAGAGCCCTTTGCTTTCTTTCCTTGGCATGTTGTCATTTCAACATGTGAAAAATGTGGGTGGAAAGAAGCAGGCGGACAATTAAATCTGAAAGGTGAAAAATTACGGCCACCAGAGACAGCTGGAGTTTATCTGATGTGACAATTTCCTTTTCTGCCATTGATTTGTGGCCTCTCTGTGGAGAATGTTGCAAATTAGTGGCCGTCATAGGAATATTTTACTTTCTGAGAAGGTCCAGCTTTGAAGTATCATTATTTGATTTGTTGGAGGGATGGATAATGGGAAGGATTTTCACTCTGAATGAGATATACGTCCTAATTCCTTTTTTTTTTTTTTTTTTGGTGCCCACTTATTTCTCAAAGAATAGATAATATTCGCCACATTCCTCCCTAGTGCCTTTAGACCTGATTAATTGAATTTTTCCACTTCACTATTCATTAGTTTGATATCCAAATATTTTGATCATCTTTCATGCAAAGTACTCTGTTGCTCAGCTTCCGAATTAACTTTTATTATTATGAGTCTGTTCTCCTCATTTTGAATTTCTCTCTCATTTATTTTTTCCCTATCATTGCCTTCCTTTGTCTGTTTTATTCATTGTAATGGGCTATGTACATTTGAAAATGAACTCTCTGTCTGCTGCAGGTTTTGGCGTGGGGCTTTCTCTTTTCTCTACTATGGTCTATGTATTAGATTGCAATCGCCCATCATTTGTTGTCAGCTCCACACAGTTTCTCCTATGTCTACTAATTGTGTGAAAGAGAAGTGGATAAAGGCAAAGAGAAACAGGAACTAATGAAGTCAGAACCCTCATTAAATTGGAATAGGTTAAGTGTGAGGGATTCTATTTTCAGCCTTAAAGCAGAGGCTTTCTTTCCTGAGACTATGATGAAGATTTTGAAGTCGATGACAAGAAATCAAATGAGAAAGTTAATGAAGATGGACAGACTGATGATCAAATGAATGGAAGGTCAAAGTCACCCTCAGATGATGAAAAAGATAATTTAGACCATGAAAAGGAGGGTGAAACCTCATTCCAGGAAATAGGAGAAACCTCTGATTATATGAAATATGAAATTGGTGGGTGCTCAGACAATGACTTGGCAGATGACAAACAAGGTTAGTTTTTTAAACACAGAATGTAACAACTTAATTCTTAACATATATATATGTTATTTTCCTATTTTTGATACTTCTGACCAAAAGTAAAATTCCTTCTTTATATGCTTCTTAGGAACTCTTCTATGTAAATTGAACCAGTCAATAATTCATCTGTATTAATGGATTAGACAGACATGTGGCTAGAATTTCTGGGCAGAGTCTTGCTTAGAAACCAGAGAGATGAATTAGATAAGGTATTGTGACTTATATATTGGTTGCTTCTAATTTGAAGAAGTTTATCACAGGATAGTGGTATAAGTGAATATAACCAATAGTTTGTCAATAGCCTGGCATAGCTAAAAGAGAAATGGACTTAGAATCATGAGTTATGGGTTCAAATTTTAGCATAGTGCTAACTGGCTGGTTGATTACAGGGAAATCACTTAACCTCGGTTTACTCATCTGTTGAATGGAACTCATATTTGTCCAACTTCTACCAATCCCTCCCCAGAATTGTGAGAGCAATCACAGTATAAACCCAGAAGAGTTGCATAAATGTAAGCTATCAGTTTTTTTAAAAATCGATTTTTAGGGTTGGAAAGGTATTTACAGCTCTTCCCAATGGGGACTCAGAGTTACCCTTCCAGACCCATCTCATGTTGGGCCCCTCCTCACACTTGATGTTCCACACCAATCAACTGGTCTTCTTGCAGTTCTTCACAGGGAACCTTAGATGTTATGTAGTCTCTTACGTTCCAATATTAGGGCCCTTGGTAGAAAATCCTTGTGATATGATGACCCTGGCTCTGGATACTGGCAAGCACAGGGAACTCATTGTGTTCTGGTGAGCTCTTGGATGGCTGTAATTGTTGCAGATCCCCTTCCACCTTACCGTGTCCTGCATGGCTTGGCCCAGGTTCTTGCACTCTGTGGAACAATGCAGAATGAATGTTCTCAGAACAACATGGAACCCTTCAGCGTTGAAGGGACCTCGGCAGCTGGCTGGGCCAACCCATACCTGTGTAAAGCCCTCCTCTATGACACGGGATCATCCGCCTTTGTTTAATGACCATCGGTGAGGGAGACTCCATGACCTTCCCATGCATCCTCCCCTCCTTCTAGCAAGCATCTTCCCCTCTGAAATCAAGTCGAAGGCTTTGTCTCTTGTGCCCATCGCGCAGAGCAGAACCCTGCTCTTCCTCAAAGTCCATCAAAGAGTGATCGCGACTCTCATGCTCTTGTCTACCGACCAGGCGTCCCACTCCCTTGATGCTCCTCGTGTGACATGGTCTTGATGCCTTTATCTTACCCTCCTCTCAATACTCTTCAGCTCATTTGTCGATTTCCTAAAAACAAAAACAGCAAAAACCACTTTCTGCTGAGAA